GGCAGATTTCGAAAAAAAAATTCCTGCAACCCAAGGAAAGAAAAAAAAATCATGAGGCATACAATCGAGAAAAAAAAATATCATGCAAAAGCGAGTGCTAAAAACAAATTTCTACATGTAACTATACTGATGCTCTTCACTTCAGTATTGTGTCCACAGGCTTGCAAGATTTTGCATTTTTGAGCAGGCATATTTGCTTAAAAGAACACGGGGTGAACAGTGGATAACTTCACAGGGATTCTACCGCCTTTGGAGCTTCTGACATACGGTAGCCAGTGGTGTTCCCTGGCAATTGTTGCCCCACCCCCTGAGAAAATCGGGCTTAAGATAATCATAGTATGTACAAGTTTATAAGTTATTTATACATATCTAATATGCATGGTAGAAAAAGGATGGTTGAGTCTGTGTGCGTTTTTGGATAACATAGCTCCAAACTATTAAAGCTTCAAAGGCCCATCTACAGGATGCAAGTTGAACGTACTGTATATACGATGATTTTAATGCGAAAATGCCAGTTTAGAGAGTCTAAATTTTAAAAAATTTCTGAAGAGGATGCAACCCGATCCCCAACAAGCTATCTGTATGAACGATTGAAAAGCTACAGAGCTATATTTGGTGGAACATTGTTGTTTCGGAGGGCAGTTAAAAATCGCATTATTGAAATCTTGTTTTATTACATATTAATCAAAGCTCATTTTGTGATTTTCCCTTGTTTAAAATAAAGGACAGTAAGTGTTCCTTAGGCTTAGTACAGCAAAGTTGTCGTGGACGAATCCATGGCTGAAAACGCAGGAAATAGCATTTCCGAGGTTCAAATTTTAAAATTTTCTCGGGGGAGCATGCCCCCGAACCCCCCAAGGTTACAGGTCATTCATATACTGTACCCTCCCCCCATTTTCGAGTACTCTACTCTATCCGTGCATGTTTTAGGTTTTGGTGCAGTTATACATTTTTTGTAAGTAAACCTGCACGCTTTAGTGTGGCGAACATTAAGACATAACCATATAAAATAAAGCACAGTGAAAATTCCTTGGCCCCTCTTGGGATTCAGTTCTCGGCCTCCTCTGACTGAAAACCCCCGCTACGTCTCTGATGATAGCTATATGAAAGCCTTAAGTTACTGTAAGCCGTTATTATGAGAGGAAAAAAAATATATAATTGCCGCCAAATATATTGGGAAAAAAATATCTTGCGCTGCACTTTTACAGGAAAAAAATATCTGTCTTGTTCGCCTGGGCGGAAAAAAAATTCTTGCACGGACTGAATCTTCCCCCCCCCCCCCCCCTCAAAAGTCAAATGGTCCGCCCCTTAATAATGTTTATCAAAGAAGGCAAAAATATATACAAGACAACCTCACATGTGGAATCTGTTCACTTACGCACTGCGTTGTGATGCAGTACAAGTACAAATACAAATGACAAAGCATTTTTAAAGGCTTTAAATCCTAAAACATAATTAAATCATATACGGCACATTCAAGATTTAATGACTCAAGTTGTTCATTTTTCCTCCACTTTCTTGATGTTACTCTGTCGACATCTCAGAGTAAATTACGTTATTTTGCATAAACTCGTGCATTAGGATGGGCTGTGTTATGCCCTGTGATTGGTCAAAGCACAGAACAGAGTCATACAAGGTTTTCAATTGGTTCACAGTATGTTTCACGGTTTGTTCACGTGAATGTGTGCTAGCTGGCAGAAAAAGATCTTTGACCTATCTGTCAAGATCTTTGACCAAACTGTCAAAGATTAGGTTGATATAAACCATATCTACCTACTCATCTTACCATCACACCTTGTCTCATTAACTTAAATTTATATAGGCTATAAATTTGCTTTTAATATCGTATTTCAGCCGCGTTTATACTGCTTGGCGCGCATTTGCTGCGTTATATTAATTTATATACCTATGTTATATACACAGATTTATTACTAATAAATCGACACTATATGATAATATATAAGAACTCACGAAGTGCAGTCACCTTTTCATAAATAAACCTTTTTAAAAGCATGTCATTGTCATTGCAGACCAGAGGCAAAAAGCACAGCCACATAGGCCTACCAGATTTATTAAGCAATCGTGAGATTATATACATGGAAAGAATATGGAAATTATGTTAAAAGCACCCCGTATAATGACGAAAACACCGCGTATAGCCGTATAATGCTCGAACCACTGCGTATAATGGCGAACGCACCGCGTATAATGGCGAACGCACCGCGTATAATGGCGAAAGCACCACGTATAATGCTCGAACCACTGCGTATAATAGCGAAACCACCGCGTATAACCAGACATTCCAACCTCCGAGTCCTCAAAACCGGGACACTTTCCAATTTTCCTATTTTACTTAAATAAACGCCTCCCTGGAATAAACGCCTCCCTCAAATAAATGCCGCGCTTTTCTCATTGATGTGGTGTCTATTTGGGTTAGTGTTAAAATTGGCTGATTTGAGTTTGAATTAAACAATAAATTCACAGTGGATGCTACAAAAACTAGTTTTATTACACTAACGTTGAAACCCATAAGTAATATAACATCTTCTCAACAAGCTTTAATTTCATTGAAGTACTGTACTGGCGTCTTGTGGCGAAATTATAGACTTGCCACAAGTCGACCATGGGGGAGGCAGGGCGCGGGGGAGGGAGTGCGTGACCCGAGCGACGAAGTAGAGGAAGTGAAGCGTGCCATAAAGGGTCTGGAAAGGACTTTGGAAAATCTAGCGAAATTACTGGTCTTTTGAGCTATGATAGTGTGACCTCTTGTATTCAAGAGCCCGCGATTATTGCGCTTGCGGCTTCTGTTACGCTGCTTTACTTCATGTAACCCTGGCAAAATGAATAGGAATTGAAAGCGAACGCTAAATAGCCTAAATTGTCAAAACAACATATGTCACGACAATTACAATGATCGGCAACAAACTCGGCAATTGTTTGGGGCAACTATAGAAGCTCCCGTTTCATTAATATGTATTGAACCAAACGAATTTCATTAATATTTGTCACATGAGCCTTATTTGAAGAATACAACTGTTAAAATACTACAGAAACCGGGACAATAAGAAGAAAACTGGGACAACATAGTCCAAACCGGGACAGTCCCGGGTAAACCGGGACAGTCCCGGGTAAACCGGGACGGTTGGAATGTTTGTATAACGCTCGAACCACTGCGTATCGACAAAATGCCGTTTGGTCACTTACGCCAGCTATGGCTTTCCATAAAAGAAAACCAAAGATGAAAGATGATCACATTGCTTGTTTGCCTTATGCCTGTTTATTAGGCAAGAATAGCCTGCTGGCCCGGAAGCAGTGCATTGTGGTAGGCCGAAATACGCCGAAACGATCGAGATTTCATCTGCCTTATATATATATATACATATACATAAAGATTAGGGCTGCTGCCTCGCTCGCTCGCTTCACGCTCGCTCGCTACGGCAGCAGTTACAGCTAAGATTTGTAGAAATTTAAGGAAACATAACAGAAACTGAGCGAACGGTACGTGAACACAAAATGGAAAGAATAGTTTGATCTATATTAATTAGGGAAAAAGTTTGTATACACCAGCAAACTTTTACCCCCCCCCCATTTAAAATAGGGTTAGCACCACCCCTGATTGGAACCAAGACCACCCTCCGCCCCATCTTGTTGTACCTATAATGCCACTGCATATTAGCTACATATTACCTGCAACAATCAGGGATTCGTTAATAGCTCGACCATCAGGGAATTCAATGGCAGGAACTGCTCGTGCAGGATTGATTGCAGTATACCACTCAGGTAGATCATCACGTAATTTGATATTCACAATGTCATAATCTTTAAGTCCTTTGGCTGTTGCTACCAGTCTTGCTCGCTGTAATCAACATACATATAAATTTAAATAAAAGAGAATGTTTGTATGGATGCCAGGGTTAATTCTATAATTTAACATAAACAGCTCATCATACACAGTCACACACTGTCACACAGCTTACATAGCCAGTCCCAAACGAGTGGGGGGTGGGGGATCTAATCATTACCAAATATACAGAACAATTACTAGTTAGTAGAGGGGTCTAGGGGCATATAGCCCCTGGGAAAATTTTGTATATTTCTATGTTTTCACATAGTATACAGTAAGTATAATATTCATGCTTATGAAGATTCTACGACTATTGATTTGTGGGCAAATTTTCCCAATATTACCCCCATCCCTCCCACTGTCTCCTTAGTTTTGGAAGAATTGCAAGATTGGTCCCAAAGAGAAGTGAGTTTTCAACCCCTCCCCCCACCCCACGGGCTATACCACCTGATTTTAGGATCAATCAACTAATTAGGAAATTGATTATTCGTTGCTGTTGATTATTCGATTATTTTTGCAATTGATTATTCCGAACAACAGTAGAGTCATACTGGCAAGGTAAAAAATTCACTATTAATATTAATTGACTGTTCATGATGATGATTACCTGTATCAATCACTTACATAAATGAATCTATAGTCTATAGGAGCAACTCTAAGATACTCAAAGCAGGGTTATCCTCATAAACAGTTTAGACTTAGTGTATATAGTCTCCAGGTCTATTGTATTTATAGCATGTTGCTGGGGTGACTCTAGGGGTACAGCGACCTCAAGAAGGCTTAAACAATAGCGCAAATTCCTTAATGGAAAATGGCAACCTTTTAAAACAATTTAAAGAAACTATACGACATTTTAAATATACTATCTACTTGAAAATTAATTAAACAAATTTCTTACCTGTGCGAAGGGGCAAAATTTCATGCTATAGATACGAAATTTCTTCGTCTTATCGAAAGCAGGTTTTGGATCTCCAGTTTGTAAGTGTTTGCTCGACATTTTGAGAGATATACCAATGATTTTCCACAAATTTATTGTGCCAAGTGTTGTGTCACAATTTACTCCAAATCACTCGGGTATTATTTACACTGCGGCGCCAGTTACGTAACTCCAATGCTATTAATACACAACTCAAATGGCGCCAAGAAATATTGTCGAGTCACAATTTCCGACGTCCGAGAGTATTTTAAGTGTGGTACAGCAAAAAATCGGCCTGATCAGCACCAGAGACTTTCGTTGTCCAAACGGGGTAGGGGCGCCTATCAGAGAGGGCCGTTAATTATTACGAACAGTGGCAAAATATCAGAGGCAAAATATTCCAGGTGATCTTGTGTTCGTATTTTAGCCAATCAGCGCTCAGAAAGGGTTGTCCGAATAGAAATCCATTTTGATGTATTCAGTCAATTATATCTTTCATTATTCTTTATGAAACTAGTTGAAATTTTGTAATTATGTTTGCTTATGAGAACTATAGCTCTGACAAAAATATGGAATCGAAATAAATTATATTACAGGAGATATTCAGTTGTTTTAATCATAAAATGGATTTCTATTTGACAACTAGTGCCAGTACTTTTCCGCGTATCAAGATCACCTGGTTATTGATGCAAAAATAAAATATCCACGGCTTTTAGTAAAACACGGAGCACGGAGCACGGAGCACACGGAGCACGGAGCACACGGAGCACGGAGCACACGGAGCACGGAGCACACGAAGTACGGAGCAGTAGAAAAACGAAAATCCTTTATAATAAAATACACTGTTTACTATTACAAATTTTTGTTATTATTAACAAAGTTTTTTCGCGTATTACACGTTGGGGAAGTAGGAAAATGGGGCTTTTACTGAAAAACACATATGATGCAAAACCAGGCTGCCAAAAGCCATAGTATTTAAAATGGGATTGTGAAACTCGTTATCTTACATCTATCAAGCTTATGTAGTTATATTATATTCCGATGGGCAACGATATATTTCGTTACCCCTGCCAAAAAATAGCCAAGTATACTCATCTTTCAATGTAGCGGATCGACTGAACATTAAATCTTGTGATGAGAAAAGTGAATTTTCGGTTTATCCTTCGGCTCAGTGACCGGTGGCAGTGAGCTGTACGGCCGGCTAAGTTTAAACCGTTATAATATACAGTACATCATTACTGCTTTCATTCTTTCAATTCGTTTTGAATATTCGGAATCATTCACAATATTATAAAACTGTATAAGATAGCTGTAGAACTATAAATGTTGTAGAATGAAATAAATAAAGAAAAGTAAGTTTTCAAATCGCGGTATTTGCCGATAAATCGGTAATCGCTACAGAAAAACAGAACAAATTACAGTATTAAAATCACAACAAACCGCGGAAGTGGGACAATCTTTGTATTTTTACTGTAAGACATGTAGAACATGTACGAAATCCATACAGAAGTGTGTGTGTATTCTATACTTTTGAAACAACTAAATCAGACTTCGGAAAATTTGACCGTATTAAAGCTGCTTTTGGGAATTTAGAATTTAGGTCTTCGTTTTACATGTACCCAGACCAGTAAATATTTTTGAGTTTTGAATTTTGTGTATAAATCAACACCAACGCCTCAAAGGCGAAAAGGAGGGCAAGATTGTTAGAATTGCTATGGTAAACATGAGCAGTTTCGAGCATAAACATGAAATTGAAACGAGTAATTTTTACACATCTGATTGACTAAGTTCAGGAAGCCATTTAAGTGTACGCGTATTTGTTACAATTCCGATCAACTCTGCCGTGCAGCACGGCAGAGCCAGAGGCAGAGGCATGCAGAGTAAATTGTAAACAAATTGTAAGCTTGTGAGAAACAAAGTTCAAAACTCAAAAATATTTACTGGGTACATGTAAAACAAAGACCTAAAATCTAAATTCTCAAAAGTAGCTTTAATACTGTCAAATTTTCCGAAGTCTGATTTAGTTGTTTCAAAAGTATAGAATACACACACACACTTCTGTATGGATTTCGTACATGTTCTGCATGTCTTACAGTAAAAATACAAAAATTGTCCCACTTCCGCTGTTTGTTGTGATTTACTGTAATTTGTTCTGTTTTTCTGTAGCGGGTTACCGATTTATCGGCAAATACCGCGATAAAACGTAGTTTTCTTTATTTATTTATTCTACAGCATTTATAGTTCTACAGCTATCTTATACAGTTTTATAATATAATAGTGAATGATTCCGAATATTCAAAACGGATTGAAAGAATGAGAGCAGTAATTATGTATAACGGTTTAAATGTAGGCCGTACAGCACACTGCTCACTGGTCACTGGGACGAAGGATAAACCGAAAATTCACTTCTCTCCATGACAAGCTTTTATAATGTTCAGTCGATCCGCTACATTGAAAGATGAGTACTTGGCTATTTTTTGGCAGGGGTAATGAAATATATCGGCTGTTCTCTAAGTGTTTCTTAATGCGTTGGCCATCGGAATATAATATAACTACATAACTCATAAGCTTGATAGATATG